ATGGCTACTGAACAAACTGATAACACCCCAGCTGCTTCACATTAGCATGAATCCCTGCCATATTCCATCATTTCCATTATGCCCTAAGATATAAGTAAAGAACATGAGCCCCATTTGTTTCTCTCCAAGTCTCCCCATCTGCTTTTTTTTTTTTTCCCTTCCAGTAGAATAGAGTTGGCAAGTTTACATCCCTTCCCTTTCCCAAACACACATTATCTCTGTGAAACAGGTGGCAGCAGTCTCTCCTTTACATGTAAATGAATCTTGATGCCCACATTTACTGCAATCCATATCTTGCATAGGCCTGGAGTTTTGAACGTTTCACTACTGCAGACAATCATAAATTAAAACAAACCGAATTTTTTTTGAGAATGAGAAAAATAATAAAATATGCTGGGTTTTTATAAAAGATTAAAGGAGTCTCACTTTTAAACTCTCAAATGTAATTAATCAAAAACTTAACGGGATGATTATTTACAAACTAGCATACAAGAAGATTTAACAATTGAACATGAAATTAGGACATCATTTCATTCAAGTGCAGAGATGATCTAACCTAATACTTCAAATCATAAATACACGGTTGGAGCAACTGCCCAAAATTCCTTATGAACATGCAAACTCTTAAAACTGCAAAGCTGATTATGGCAAAGCAAACTGTTTAACCAAACAGCCCATTCACAAAATTTGCTCCTTTTTAAATTACTGAAAGCATTCACCACAATTCAGAAACACCAGTAACCCTAAACCGACAGTTATTCCGCAATTACTCTCAAAGCCTTGCAATTAAACAACTCAAAACTGGTAAAGTTAAAATGGAAGGGGTGAATAGGCTTAAGGCAAGTACTAATATAGTTACTCAAAGTAAATGTGTTTGAGAAGAGGAAGAATGTGTCAGTAGCTCCCATCGTTTTTGTTCATCACCCAGCTATCTGATAAGATTTGGTCTCACGCTCTCATGCCTCGTTTTAATCTTGCAAAAAAATAAAAAGTCCTCTTTATGACACCGGTGACTTTTTCTATTTGTACACACACCAGTTTCTAATTTCACTGCAGAGTCAAGACTGATACTGAGAACAGAGAGAAATAACTTCTTTTGGGGTTTTTTTTTTGGAAGCAAATACTTTGCACCAAAACCCAAAGATTCAAGCCTGCTTTTCTATAGGAGGATGTTTTCTGTCCCCCTCTTTCACTCGAGTATCTTCCCATGCTAAAGGAAATGACAGTAACCTTCACTGAGAGCTCTATGGGAACTGCTGCAGATACTGCCATTTTTGCCAGACAGGAGGCTTACTGCAGTGTACTTGGGTAAACCTTACCCCAGTGATCTGTCCTCCGGCCAGCATGAGCTGGGTCTGGGGTATGGCCGCCTGCACTGAAGGCTGCTGGGAAGGCTGGCTTGGCTGCTGAGAGTCCCCAGATTCTTCATTAGATTTAGACTAGTCAAAAAAAAATACAACTCTTTATAGTGTAAAACAGATGTTAATGCATAACACTGCTATCTCAACACTGCACAATAAAAATCTTTCATCTGCATACAAAACACCCTTGGGTTTATTTAAGAGTGCGTTTAAGCAATGGCTCTATGTGCCCACCATCTCAGCTACAATCACTCAAACACATCTGTAGGTAAAGCAGTTTAAACAAAACAAAAGGACTCTCAGGTCTTTTGTAACTCTTTGACATTAATTTTCAGGTCCCATTTCACTTTATGCAACGCAGCTGAAGCTGACACTACCTTTCACCATGAAGAAAGAAAAGGTCGTTAAAATTATTCATCGTCTAAAATCCTGAACAACGGACCAAGGGAAAGAAAATTGTGCCTCTGTTTTCTACATCTGCACCCTGCACCTCTAAGTCATCATACCTTTGGCTCCTAAGGAACTGCTTTGAGAAATACTCACACATTTATCTACCTGCAGCAAAATACATGATACATACAGTGCTTTTAAATAATCCAAGTTTAGCATTTATTTAATTGAATGCTTGTTTATTTAAAAAAATTGGGGGAGGGGTGATTTTTTTTGGGTGGGTTTGGGTTTTGTTTGGTTTTGGTTTGGTTTTTGGTTTTTTAGGGGCTTTGTTGCCTTGTTGGGTTCCCCCCCCCCTTTTTTTTTCTAAAACCAGAAGAAATTGTGAAGACATGAGGGAGGAAATGCAAGTGCATGAAGAGAGGAGAGAGTTTTATGATAATTAAAACTGGTTATGCAGAACATTAAAATTCTGCATAGATTTGCATATTTTCCACCACCTGTTTTGGGGACTGCAGAGCAGGCTAATTAACATAAAGGCTCTGATTAATTCTGCCAGTCATTGAGCGATAATTACAGCGCAGGACTGTAAACATTCTGCACTGGAGATACAGCCTGTTTGCCAACATCTCTCTCAGGGATGGAAGTTTACCATGGCAACCAAGGCAATTTTCTGCCTCCTTCCTCTTAGAAAGGAAGGTCACTATACCTCCTCTTCTTTCCAAATTGTTATTATGTATAAGTGGGTCCGCATTCTATTGCATTTCATGTAATGCACTACCTACATTCTCTAATAACAAGCAATACTGAAAACAGTTTTCAATAAAACTGCGTCCCTTGCCCCTTAATATAGTACTGAGAGGAAGTGGCACGTTAGCCGATACACTGAAGTGCTCAGCATCATAAAAAAGTTTGAGAGCTTTGTTGTCTCACGTACGTTATTAAACAACAATTACTCTGAATTATTTTGAAATCACTATGTGTTATTTACACAAGCAATCGACACCAGCCACATTACATAGATTATGTTACACTATACTCCTATATTGAGCTACTAAGTAAGGACAACTTGAATGTAACACTTGCTATGTTTGAAATAAGTGAATAAATAGAAGAACATGAAATATTCCTGGAGATTTATGGTTTTCATGATACAACACCTGATTGAATTTCAGTATAAGATTACAATCACTCCAGTTTCGGAATGCTTACAAGCCTGATCCTGACTTACAGTTGTAGAACGATTACTCCTTCATACCTATCACTTGCAAGACCAGTCAGAATGACAACAAAAAGACAGTAACATACCATAGGTTAAAAACTCTCTCTAATGGGGCCATAATGCAGTTTGGAATGAGAGGAGGTCTTTACCTGTACATTTAAGGACTGAGCAGCAGCCTGTAAACTTGTTCCAGCGAGCTGGACCTACAACACAGGGCAAAACCAGAAATTAAATAATGTAGAATCCACAGAAAACTTCAGCAATGCAGAAAGAAACTCCCCACCCAGACCCCAACAAAAACTGCCCCGAGAACAACGCATGCCCCTCTAACACCTGAATAACTGAAATAGGGGGCTGTGCTCCAGGCTGAAAAAAGTCTGTGTAGCTCTTCTTCACAGTGCTATTTATTTCAACTCTTGTTGAACGTATTGCTGCCTAGGGATCTAGATACTATCATGAAATTGAGTAGAAATGAATGGAGCATTTTGGGGTGGACAGGCTAACTATTCCTATTCCTGTTAAACAAATCCAGGCTTCAAGGGAAGGCTTTAAGCTCTACTCGTCATCATCCGTCCAGAATTTCAGAACGGGTCTTACCCCAGATACCTACACTGCATTCACCCACTTTCTTATACAAAAGAGGAGCAATCACTTGCACAGGACAAAACCCACAGCATAAATGCTCTTCTTCCTCAAATCAACTCATTCAAGTATTTGCCACTGCAAAGATCTTGATACAGAGGACTGGAGACACTTTACAAAGGCTGTATTGATTCAGGTATACTCAAAACTTGAATTCAATGTTTGTGATTAACAGCTCCAAAGAAGTTCTTGTGGGTTAGCAGTAAAAAAAACCTGATGCTTCAGAAAGCGTGATTTTTAGAGTGTTATTTTATCTCTAATAAAGATTTTCTCTGCACAAATGCTAAATTTTCATTTACCGAAGACCATTCTAATCAGTCTTGCCTTGTTTCTACCATCACTCCTGCTATAAAGAAGGAATGCTATGTAATTAATTACCCACACTTTCAAAAGGTCAGAGTTACAGCCTGTGGTGAATTCCATCCTGGCCATGTTTGAAAGCCACTGTTCATTTAAAAACCAGGCAACACATAAGGATACAAATAAAGCAAAGCAAAATGAAGCACTCTTGCCTATGTAAAAAGATGTCCCCTCATACCATACATAACAAAAGAGAGTCCATATCTCCTGTGCAAGTACAGGGAGGAGAGTTTTAATTTAAATTGCAGTACATGAAATTAGTAACTGAATATTCAAACAAGCAACCCTTAAGAGCCACCTTGGCAACATTTCCTACCGCTGTAGGTGGAGGTACTAGACTTACTAAGCATGTCCTACATCTAAGCAAACACTCCCAGAAAATCTCCTCCTTATCAAAAGCAAAATGTAGTTTGACACAGCAGATATAATTTGAGCTTTTAACATGAATTAACAGCAGGGAATAACCTAAACAATAACAGCTTGCCATCCAAAAATATGCTCAGAAACAGTACTTTTAAAATTGCATAATAATAATTTTTTTTAAAAAAAAACACATAAAAGACTACAAACAAATCTCACTCAGGTATAGCCACCATATTCCTGAAGATCTGTTTGAATGCAACCTGGACGCTCCTTCCACCACACAACAAACGTTTTCTAATTAGAAATTAAACTGTTCCTGAATTTTGCCTACAACCTAGTATTTTGTGTTAGTCTGGAGGAAAGCACCACGTGTTAAAGCCGAGTAACACCCCACTAACAGCAGCCACACCAGAAGAGGACAGTTTGACAACAGATTCCCACACACCTGCAGGTGCAGAAAAGAAGAGCTGAGATTTTCCTTTGAACTAATTTCAAGAAATGAATCACACTTTTATCAAACATGAAGTTATAAAGACCCTGAAAACTGTTTAAATAAATAAACTTCCAAAGCAAGACAAAGCACTGTGCTAAATACAATTACTGTCCTGGATCAATCTATAGAACAAAACAAAGACTAAACCAGACAAAATTCTGCAGCACAGCTGTATCTGTCACCCTGTTAAACATATACTGATAAACCATGAAAACCAGTCAGCTTCTCTCCACATAAAGGCAGCCTACAACAGCCTATTGGTTCAGCAAATTCAAACACTGGCACTCCCTAGGTCCTACATAACTCAATCTACTAAGAAAATTGTAATTATGTGCCAAGACGTGTGGAATGTTCTACACAATAAAATGGCAGTTCAGAGCTCTTAAAAGAGGGCATAAAAGCTTCAGTACATCAATTATACCACAATAACTGTGCAACCTCAGACCTCAAACATTCAAGGTCAGCCAATTAGGTACACTATTTTAAAGTTTAAACTTGGTGCTGAGGAAGGGAAAGAAATTAGGACATTTGTTTTCATACATCAAGTGTGAGCAGATGAAAAACTATAAAAAATGCCCCTTCTACTTCTCTTCACCTAGGGATGCCCCATTTTGCTTCAGCCTGTATCTGACGTTCAGCTTTGATTCCCTAAACACAGCAGTGGCAGAACAAAGATATAGTAGTAGAAACCTGAATATCATCTGACAAACAGGTCCTTGAAATAACTTTGGAAAAAAAAACCCAACATTTTAAAAACTCACAAACCATATATGCTTAGTAAGTACCATCCCTCTATATTTCTAGTTAACGTGTGAGAGTGTGAAAGATGGAAGCACAGTGCTGACTACCATTCAACACCACTTCTGGTTTCAGGACCTTGGCAACTATTGGGCCTTTATCAAAAAGATGTTTACCTTGCCTTTCAATTTGGTATCTCCATTAAGATTTAAAACAAAACCAAAACAAACCCACCATGACAAAATGCAAAAAAACAAAAACCAACCCCAAACCAAAAACCAGTAAGCTGGAAAAACCCAAACCAAACAAAAAAAGCCCACCCCCCAACAAACAACAAAACAAACACCAAAAGAAACCACAAAACCTTTGGCATTCTCAAGTCCCCAAAAGGGGCTTTCTTCTTCCTCCAAGAGGTCTCACTTTACCTTGACGTATTCTGCAGCCTAATGCAATTAAGTGATGGCCACAGAAAGAATATTTTCCCATCCCCGCTATATACACGACCACTCATCATTCACATGAAGGGAGAACATAAAACATGTAAGAGAAGCTGCATTTGTACCTGCCTGAGCCACCCCTACTTTGAAATGGGTTTTCTCTTACCTGATGAAGGTGCCCAAGGAAGGCCTGGGCCTGGGCTGTAGAGATTGCTCCTCCGACAGGCACAGGCTGCTTTTGAAAGTCCAGGCCATTTGTTTGCGTGCCTGGAGAAAGAGATATTAGGATCTGTTAGTTATTACTTTTAGAAATTGAATAAGAATTAATATTCCTAAATAGCCTGCTATTCTCTCAATACTATGCAACAGAAAAATACTCTGAGAGTAACAAGAACTGAAGTTTTTAACTGAAATGGGGATGGGGGGAAAAGCAGTGTCACTTCCAGACTTCAGTAATATGGCATTTGTCAGCTAAACAAAAATCAACACTGTATTTTCTTTAACTTCTATCGTCTTACCCACTCTATGTACACTATCGCTCCATCAATCTCTGTCACAGTTTGAGAACCAAATGGGTGCACGCTGCTAAGGTTAAACTGTTTCAGTTCTGCATGCACTCTATCCAGCAGCTAAAGAATTTGAAGATCTCTAAATTCAGACAGTGTTAAGAACAAGGTTCCTGTAAAGCCAGCTTCCGTTAAAAGCAGACAAAATACCACTTGAGGAAAACAGAAGTACTACATACATAGCAGTTATGGGGCACAGTTTTACTCTTTTGATAAAAGATACCTCCACATTTTCACAAACGATTGTGCAGAGCTCTCATTACATAAGATAACTGCCCTGGCTTGCTTTTGCTCTCACCCACTTCCATGTAATTAAAAACTGACTATTCTCCTGCATTTTCGCTGTCTTCTTCCTACACAGCTTGGAAGATGTAAAAACCCCCAAACTATCCCCCAAATAATCTGGCTGTGAGGAGGAAAAAAAAAAGTTAGCTTTTTTCCAGAAGAAACTACCACAGACTTCTCTTCCACCAAGAGGAACTGTAACTACAAGCTTTTAAGAACCATTCTGTGGGGAGATGGTAAAATGAACATTAAGGATTACCAAAACCTGGTTTTGTATGTTGGGTATTACTACCTACAGTGGCTAACAAGAAGGCAGCCTGAGTTTGTCAAGCTGCGTGAAATTTCTAGGACAGATAATGTAATCTTAAAAACTGCATGACTGAAATGAAGTAAAACCAGCTTTAAACTTGCATGTTTACTCTTTGTGACAAACAGATTTTGCTCAGTGCCTATGAGACAGGTGTTCAACTAACTCCTGTGTAAAAATTCTTTCCATCATCTGCATTTTTTGCCATAAAAATCTAGGTTATCTACTAAGGAAAAGATAGTCACGGTTGTTAAAACACAACAGGGGTTTGCTGCTTCTTAGAAACATCTGTAAAAACAAGCAGGCATAAAATTTTATAAGGAAAATACACTACCCAATATTTCACATTGCTGTTTTGACCTACAAACAACTTACACAGATACAATTTCCAAATATGAAGTCACTGTTCAATTAAATACAGATACAATGTAGACAGTCGAGCTTTCTAGCACCTATGTAAGGTGTACCTGAGGTGGCCCTTTGATACATCTTTGGTGGAGGTGCTGTGGGGGAAGAATTGGTCACTCTCAAGTTTTTAATTCTATGCTTTAGGCCAGAGTTTACAGACTTGAAAGACTGTGCAGCCAGACACCCACAGACATGCTAAAAATATTCATATTTTAAAGTACATAAAATTATTTTGCTTCCCAAGTCTAAAATTCCAGCCCACAGTGAATGGAAGGACTATCATTGGTGTGAATTGATCCCGAGTGCTCCCACAGCACCCTCCTGGAAAAGCTAGCAGTCAGCAGCTTGGACAGGTGCACCCTTTGCTGGGCTAAAAACTGGTTGAATGACCGGGCCCGGAGAGTGGTGGTGAATGGTGCTGCATCCAGTTGGTGTCCAGTAAGCAGTGGCAACCCCCAGGGATCATTACTGGGCTCAGTTCTATTCAACATCTTCACTGATGACCTGGATGATGGGACTGAGTCTACCTTTAGTAAATTGCAGGTAACACCAAATTGGGGGGGAGTGTCGATCTGCCAGAGGGTAGGAAGAGGCTGCAGAGGGACCTGGACAGGTTGGGTCAATGGGCAGAGGCCAACTGTATGAAGTTTTAACAAGACCAAGTGCAGAGTCTTACACTTCGGCCACAACAACCCCATGCAGCGCTACAGACTGGGGGAAGAGTGGCTGGAGAGCAGCCCAGCAGAGAGGGACCTGGGAGTACTGGTTGGCAATTGATTGAACACGAGCCAGCAGTGTGTCCAGGTAGCCCACAAGGCCAATGTTATCCTGGCCTGCATCAGGAATCGTGTGGCCAGCAAGAAGTAGGGATGTAATTCCCCTCTTGTACTCAGCACTGGTGAAGTCTCACCTCGAGTACTGTGTACAGTCCTGGGCCCCTCACTCCAAGAAGGATATTGAGGTGCTGGAGCAGGTCCAGAGGAGAGCAATGAGACTGGTGAAGGGACTAGAGAGAAAGTCTTATAATGAGAGGCTAAGGGAGCTGGGGTTGTTTAGCCTGGAGGAGACTCAGGGAGGATCTTATCACTACCTGAAGGGAGGTTGTAGTCAGGTGGGGGTCAGGCTCTTCTCTCAGGCAAGTAGTGACAAGACGAGAGGGCATAGCCTGAAGCTGTGCCAGGGGAGGTTTAGGCTGGATATTAGAAAGCAATTTTTCATGAAGAGGGTGATCAGGCATTGGAATGGACTGCCCAGGGAGGTGGTGGAGTCACCATCGCTGGAGGTGTTTAAGGAAAGGCTGGATGTGGCACTTAGTGCCATGGTCTAGCCGATGTGGTAGTGTTAAGTCACAGACTGGACCTGGTGATCTCAGAGGCCTTTTCCAGCCTCAATAATTCTGTGATTCTGTGAATGAATTTAACTCGGTTGCATTTCTTCAAAGGAAGGTAGATAAGGAAGTCTGCTAGAAAGAGCTAGATGAATCTCATCTATTTTCATTCCTTCCAGTGAACTGCAGAATTCTCTCAGTGCAGACGTCCAGAGAGAGTGGGAAGATGACTGGGTAAATATATGAAAATAATTCCTGAGACACAGCTACTATAATTCAAAGGAAACAACGTACCACTACCTCATTTAGTAGTTTTGAGCAAAGCAAGTTCCAAGACTGAGCTTAAAATCTCCATGGGTCCCAAAAACCAGTTTAGACAGGTACTGAGACAAAACAACATTTTCCTTAAATCCAACCTTGAAGGACTCCAGTTTCCTCTCCTCACACCTCCTCAAACCAAACTCAGAAAAAAAACCTCCAAACCACACCTGTTAACTACCTGTTCTGCTTGCATCTTAAGCTTTCTTTGGTATTTGGAAGTAGAGCATCACTTCCCCTTCAGATGTGGCTCTAGTTTTGGAAGGAATGCTACTGAGGTTGCTTGCATTTATCACAGGACGCCTACACCTTTTTTTTTGTTTTAAGAACAGCAGGGAAAATGAACTTTGGGTTTAGCATATGAGAGGCCTGGCTCTTAAGGTGCTCAGAAGGGTGTGAGACCACTCCTGTGGAATCCAAGAAGGATTTGCAAGGTAAGGAGACTGGAAAATGGAGCTGTCAGAAGCAGAAGTCTGCACACTGTCAGGACAGGACAGGACCAGAATGGCACTTCTGTTCAAGATAAAGAGTTACACGCAAAAAAAACATGATGGTTTTTCTGCCAGAGAGATGGCAGATGCAATCACAAGTGCTGTGAGTTTAACGATCACATGTATTTATGCCTTTTCCATTTCCACTTCAGCTCCTGTAACTGCTAGAGCAGATCTAACAGCTCACCAACACCAAAAAAGCAGAAGTGGGAACTCTCCATTTTTTTCTTCTTGGTTCCAGGTACGTTGTCCTTGTCCTGCTCTTTCTGACAGTTCATGGACACAGCAGTAAGCCAACTCAACCTTCGAACCAAGTAGAAAACTACTCACATGAACTGTTCCCTTTTTCTTTTGGCCAAGTGAGTTTTCTGCCGGTTATGTGAGATGAGTTAACTTACCTTAGGGCCCAGCAAGCAGCAGATCACGCAAAGCAAGGCAAGTCAGAGACATGGTAGCAGTGAAATGAGCCTACTTCTTCCCAGCATGTTGTTAAGACTGAATCAAGCTGTAGAATGCAATTTCACCCTTAAAGCCCAAGTCCAACGCAACTTAAGCACACTTAAATTCTGGCACAAACTCAGCTACTTCATGGATTTGGTTTGGATTAGGATTAATACTAAGTGCAATTAACTTTCAGCCAAATCAAATCTTTCAACTGTCTCACTCAGTGGCACTTCAGGTAAAAGAACAGAGAACCAAGTACCAGGACACCCTGAACGTGGATCAGTTTATGCTGTCTTGGAACTGTAGGTGCAGAGGGTAAAGGCATGACAAAATGGAGCGGACAAGGTAACGTTGCACCTGCAGTCAGGAGAAGAACATACACTCAGAATCCAAAATCATAACCATCAGAATGCAGTCTGAGTTTACAAACCACCTAAAGAAAGAGGAACGAGGAACTACAGGCCTGGCAAGACATGAAGTAAGGTGCAATAACGGAGTCCAGAACCAAAGGTAAACAAGAAGGAAGATTTCAAAACCAACTTGAGTGACATCTTCCAGCACCAGCATTACATTTCCCCATCTCTCTCTCCCCTCTGCTTGTGTATGCATGTATGTCTATGTTGAGAGATGCCCAGAAATTGTTCATTTCTTGTCAACATTACCAGTAAGAAGTTTAGGGTTGACATTTGCCCAGAATTTTAGCAATTAAAGAATATTTCACGGTCCCTCTCCTACAGACTTTCTTCTGAAGGAAACAAAAAAATCCATATCTGGAAATAAAGCAATGCAGACAAGAATCCTTAGAACCCTTCCAAATACTACACTTACAGAAATTATTATTTTGCTGCTACGTCAACGCGTGTCGTATGAGTGCAGTTTACATAGACATGAGAACCTTGGCTGTGACAGTACTGCATTCACACAGCTTTACAAAAACTATGCATGAACAAACAAAAAGTTGAGCTGTTTTGGACCATTTTATGCTGCCACCTATAAAAAGGAAACACAAGAGCTCTCTTTTTAGTATAAGACACACGTCTAATTTCCTCTCTTTTTTCCAGTAGACACTAAGTAGACTGTCCAACCACACCTGAAGGTTGGAAAAGATTTGTGTAATTCTGCAATACTGACGACCACTCAATCAATTCATGTTCTTGTGAAAGCAGCCAGTCAACAACTCCTGTACTCATCAAGACTTCTTCTGTTGTTTTGTTTGATTTGTCTGAAATACAGGCTCCTTTTTCAGATGCTTAAAAGGGGACTCCAGTTAGCACAAAAATTTAAAAGTTAAAATCTGTTTCAGGCGTTCTATTATGACCAACATATTCAGGGGACTTTACTATATTCCCTAGATAGTCAGAGTTGGAAATAGAAATCCTGAATTTGTTAACTTCCATGAAACCTAGTTGTTAGCTCAGAGAACTACTGCTGTAGTCATCTTTACCAGTGGCAACGCTAGCTCTGACAGATGTAAATTCCATGGCCTACAGTAATTTCTCTTACAATTTTCAAGTTGCATCAGCTTACTACAGTTTAAAGCAGGAACAACCCAAACAGGCATCCACTGAGGTTCAAAAGATAAGCTCATAGTGCTTACACAGCAGACTCAAGTGATTTACAAATGGCACTGGGAAATAGACAGTTACAGAAAGTTACAAAAATAAGAACTCTTGAGTGTTTACAGAAACCATCTTCATGCATTTTGCCTCAGAGCCTGTGCTCCCCAGACAATCAAGAGCATTTCTAGTTCCTTAGCATCCAAGCTGAAAGCTCTCTTCTTTTCACCAAGTATGCACACAGCCCAGCACCACAGTCTAAGTGTCCTGATCAGAAGCCTCAAATCACATTCCCTGTGATCACCTTTCAGGGTTTCACATCTGCCTGTTGACTAGTGCAACTGATGCTTGGGCTCCCAAAAACCATCACAAACACCATCAATCACTACCTCCAGTGGTTTATAAGCACTACGTTTAAAAACAAAACAATGATCACAAAACAAAGGGTCCTCAAAAAATTCCTGATTACTTTAGTCTGCATCATTTAAAAAGTCAGGAAACAAAACAGAACAAAATGACTGGGAAAATTTAAATTGCAGGAGCAATGTTTGCATAAGGCCCGAACACCAATAAGGGTCAAACTTTTGTAATAACTAACCTTGTATTAAAAAAACCCCACAGGCACTGTATCCCATTTTTGATGAAAGCACCTACACACAGTAGGTGTAGTGGTAATCCATCGATTTCTTTATACCATGATCACCACCTTCACACTGATAAAGTGTTTGCCCAGGAGAGCAGAGCCAGAGTTTTACCTAAGCAGATGCCATACCTCTGTGATGATGGATTACCTTTGAATAAGCCAAGTCCTCCTCTTTAACAGCTCAGTTTATGTGAAATTGGAAGTTAAAGCTGTGCTTTGGAGAGAGCACAGACAGGGACCTGTGGTCATACAGAGCACAGGTCTGAACTTTCTCAGAACTTCACACACACCCTCCAGCTGCAAGAATTCTACAGGGATATTTAAAACCATTGCTCTTTAGATGCTGTTTATGAAATATTCACAGCCCACACATTTTTTGAAATAATGTTTTACATCATCCTAAACCAGTATTAAATACATAATGAATACTTTTGTACATAAAAAGAATTGATACTTCCTCTATTACAAAGACAACGGAAATTGTAAAAACTGAGATGTCAGTAGCAAAACACACATTGGTAAGTGAGATTAATTCCTTTTGACTGACCCCATGCATTAGCAGAAAGCATCCAGCCTCTCGGATCAGTATCAGGAACATTCAGTCACTCTTAGCTGTATTAAAGCCTTGCACAAAGAATGAGGAGACAGCATAAAATGAAATAAATTGTTAATTTCATCACAACTTCAGAGTTCAAAATAAAACTCTTATTATTGAACCAAGAGGAGGAAAATGAATTTTCCTCATACAAGGTAACCAGACTTCTCTGAAAGCAACAAGTTCTTTCTCATTAAAATTTTCTCTTTCCAAATACTATCCTGACCTCAAAGAAGATTCTGAGTCAGGTTAAACTATTTACTTCCCATTCAGAATTGTAATTCCTCTTGCTCCCAAGATGAACATTAAATTACCGCCAGGAAGGATTAAAGCATGAGATAGCATGATTGAGTTACAGTGGCTTAACAAGCCTCTTCAATGGCCTAGAACTTGGCCACATCTTAAGGATGTACCAAGGATGTACCATCTTAAGGATGTACACACTGGCCCTGACACAAAGGCGATTCTTCCCCAGCCAAATTTTAAGGTTCTTTCTAACATACAAAGAAGTTACAGAAAAGCCAGCTAACTTTTTTTTTAATGTTGAGAAGTGATGCTTTTTCCCTTTGCCTTTTTCTTGAGATAACTTTTCCTCGCCTTTTTCTTCCTGTGGAAGCTTGAATGAAGTCTGAAATGGAAACAAGATCAGCCAGTGGCCCACATCTGCCAGGCAGATTTTCAACCCAAACAGAAATGACAAAGTTTGAGGTGCTGAAGATACGTTCTGCCAGGAAAAAATGAGACTACTTCTGGAGAGCTACTGACACCAGACCTTCCGTAATATCAGAAACATTATGGATAGAGGACGTGGGGAGGGGAACCTTACATACATACTGACTAAGCGTGGGTAGTGCTCTGACACATTTGGTGTGAATAGTGCCCTGCTTATAGTAGAGTTAATAACAAGACAAAAGCGTGCCCAAGCCTCTAAAAGCAGCAGGTGTAGGGTGGGTTTTTTGTTTAGTTTGGGTTTTTTGTGATTCTTGTAAAGTGGCAAAGAAATCTTGCTTGTAATATCCATTAAATTCCACCAGAAAGTATCTGTGCAGCAATTAATCATCTCTTACCTGTGTTCCCATCTCCACTCTCCATCGATGGTTTACTGGTTTCTGACGGATTGTTCATTCTTGAGTCTGCATTAAAACAGAAATAGAGATCAACTCATACAGCAAAAGAAACCCCAAACCTATTCCTGCCTTCTTGTCCAAGGGAAGTACAGAACATCGGGAACTTGATACGTACTTTACCCCAATTCAGATTATAATGCAAAAGGAATGATCAGAAGCAGAACACAATACTGAATCTTCCAGATAAATATTGTGTCCAAATTTGTATGTCATTATTCACATATGCGAAAACATGGTGTTAAGGGAACAAGAGACAGCACGTTGGAGGGCAAAGATAGGTAGGAACTTAATTTTCAGTACAATGAAAGTGACAGAAGCCAAGGGCTGTGGGGGGGTTGGGAAGGAAGGAGGAACAATGACTGTATCACAATTCAAAAACATTAAGCCTGACCATCATGGCCTACATTATTCTGGGGAAGGGGGGATGTGCCTCATAAGAGAAATGAAATTCAGTCATTACAGTTAAACAGATACCATTTTTCTAATACTGCATTTTATTTTACAGGAATGTCACCGATATCAAGTTGTTTTAGCTTTCCTATATATATCCATGCAACCACCACACAAATATAAAATAATTCCTTTTTCTTCTCCCTCTGGATGAATCTATTAAAAAGTCTGCTCTTGTTTTCAAAGCTTGTCAGCTGAATATAGTGCAACGCAGAGGGCCTCTCCAGATGGCAGAGAATATAGTTTCCTTATATAGGAATCTATACAGATGTTCTGTGTATAGCATCAGCTCTCCAGCTTATTACCTCCTCATTCCTTGCTACCGACCTCAGCGTGTCCCATTATCATAAACTAAAATTACAGAAAGAATCTCAAGACAGACCAGCTCATAAAACAAAGTGTAAGCACATCCTTAAGCATGTTCTTCCATTCTCAAAACCAGTTAAATGCCAAGTTTCATGTACTCAAAATGAACCCTTTACTGCAGGATATTTGCTTGCTAGGTGCAAGCTTAAACAGGCTACCTCTGTCATGCACTTTCATCAAAGCAGCAATTTCCAAAACACCAATGGGCTGAAGAGGAATACAGGAACACCACGAACCGCTGCATCTTTGCTGCGGCTATTTCCACGAACGCCCAGCTGCTTCACTGCTGGGCAGCCTGCGAGAGCTGGGAATGAGAAGCTGGTCTATTGCTGTGCACTATCACCTGTGACTGCTCAGAGAGACCAGTGCCATCCTCCGGTTATCGCAACCAGTGTGGGGGGGCAGCAGCAGAGGAACCAAAGCACGTGGACAGGGCCTGACTGAAAACAGGAGTCGCACTACAGCCTGGCTGGAAGCGTGGGGTGGGAAGAGGAGGGAACTAGTCAGAAATGCAGCCCGCGTGAGAGAAAAGATAAGAGACACCAACCTTGGAAAAACTCCAATAAGCAGGTAGGAAACACAATTTAAGATGTGTCAATATTTTTTAAATTAATGTAATTTTCCACGTAAACAACTGCTGCAGCTGAACCCAGTAGGGTCTAGAAAACCCAGAGGACTGTAACAAACAGGAATCTTCCCCCGACAAGGTAACTCAACCTCTCCAGAGCCTCAACTCTTCTCAGAAAGTTCCTATGCGTATGCTTAAATATTTCAAGTGCCAGCCACGAGTAAGAGAGATCTGAACTATCAGTTTTACTCTTAGTATAAAGGCAGACGTGTTAAACTGCTTTCTGAAAGGGAGAGTGAGTGAGGAGAAACTTTCCAGCCGAGTGCTGCTGGCCCACACTTTGGCAAAGAGCTGCAAGTTCTGCCCCGTTTTTCACAACCTCTGCTTAGCAGATTCAAGCTATGAGTTCAATCTTGAAGACAGGGCTCTGCTGAGGCTGCAGATACACAACCTATTGCTTCCTGGCTTACTTTGTCATTTCCCACGCTTAGATAGCATGAACCACGCTCCAGAAACAGAACATGGTCCCACTGACTATCCAGAAATCCCCCTCCCTGCCGACAGATCTGTGTGTAAAACAAACACAAACATGTTTGTATCTAGAAGTTGCATGTACCTTAAATTGAGTTTACTGTTGTGGAAACAGCACGTTTATTTAAAGCGATTATAGGCAAGACCCATCTGATAAACAGCATTAGTTCCTTCCTTGACACACAGCTGGCGACTGAAATCAGTTTAGGTTCAGAGAACACTGATGAATGGGAAACTTCTTGGACACAAACAGAGAGAGTCTTTGTCCAACAGGAAAATGAGCAAAGAGGGCTGAAAAGTCCAAGATGTTTGGTTGTGGAAACCAGGCTAACTCACGGGGCTGTTGGACATAGGATGTGTTTTGTAAGCCCAGCACACAAGGAAAGCCTGAGCTGACGATAGCCCTGCAACAGAAGGGAAGGGCACAGGTGGAGATGAGCATCTCCATAAATAACATGGAAACCATCCACTGAACCACTCCAGAAAGCTCTTGCAAGAGAAACAACACAGGACCTCCTGTGCTAGTTTGGTGCAGAAACTGAGGCATTAGAGGCACCATGCAGGGTACTAATGGCAGAATAAACAAACTAAACCTGGAGGGGGGACACAACTGTCCCGTGAGCAGAATCCCAAGCAACACAGCGACTGTTCCCTCTGTACAAGGAGGCTGACACAGCAAACCCTCCTGTACGGCCTGCAAGTTTGCTCAGGACACAGTTATAACTGTGCAGACCTCTTTTAATACAGCAACCAAGACGTGGTTTTCTTTTGGGCTATGCTGATAAAAATAAATCTTTTCTAAAAAGGTTTTCAGTGTTTCCTTGTACTAGACATGCACATAAAGTTCACTCAACTACCAAAAGCATGTCTTTTATTGTAAAGATTCATCCCTAACAAAGACCTCAAACATTGCTATTGCAAAAAAGCAGCAAGTTGGATGAGGAAACATCTTTCTGGTACTGCTAAGGTTCAAACCAAGGATAGCATCTATTATTTCACCAGCTGACTATTTCTTGTTCAATCTGTGGGCCTTCTGCATATAAAGCACGAAGAACAATGCAGCTATTTCCATTGCAAATGGTATGACATACATCTACAGCACAAAACTGCCACCAGCAAAACAGACATCTACCCGCAGGACACTAAACCTATGGATTTATTATTCAACAAATAAAAAGGTCATTTGCTTTATACATGCTCATACAATTTCTGCTTTAAAGTTAAAAGAATAAACAAATGAAGAGGGCTAAAAAACCCAAACCATAATGCCCTCACCTTTTCTTTTGCCTTTAGATCTTACTCGGGTTTTAAATAAAGGCCCTGGGCTACAACTTCTGCCAACATTATCTGCAAACAAACTTCACAGAAGGCAGGATCGAAAGCAGCAGGTGCATGATTGAAATCCAGCTGTCAGGAGTGAATACATTCGGCACTGCTACTCCACTAGCAGGGCTGAGGGTGGCACAGGGCAGGGCAGTGCCAGGCTGCCACACACCCTCACGAACAAGGCAAGAGGTATTCAGAAGGAAGAAGAAGTAGACAGCGGACCAGCGTAAAGTATTTAGGAACCAGACACAGCTAGCAAAACAGAGAAAATCTCAACATGGAAGATATCATTAACTATTTCCTTTCACCCATTAAAGTGAAACTGCCCAGTACTCCATCAGCACCAGCAAAAATGATTCATTGATGTGTATGGAAAAAACCAAAGTTCAATGCGAGTGAAAACATTGCTAAGAATTCACTAGAAATTCATTATCAAAAAACCACTTTGTATTCAGAAACAAGTATTCAGATGCCTGCTGTAAAATTTACCATCCAAAAATATACTATCTTACTTTGCCATACAAGTTCTTACATGAACTTCTATAATGGAATCAAAAGAATAATAAGGAAAAAAAAATCTATACATTGAGCTTTGGGGAAAGAGCCTTGAGAATAAATAAAGCTTATCGTAAAACCAGGATGATCCATTATTATAAATAAGCTTAAAAAACATGAAGAAGAAATTATGGCATGTCTGTTCTGCAGCCCTGATGGAATCTCAGCACAGGAAATGCATTATCCCAGTAACCTTAGGCACAGCTTAGCTTGCAATGGTATCAATGGCAACCACTGTGGACTCCACCTTATTTTCTGCTATGCATGAAGAACCTTGCTGTTCCATTAAAAATACACAGACATAATGTACATTCTGTTGGGGAATGGCTCAATACAGCTGCTAAATTCTTTGAGACTGGGACTTTCATTCATTTTAACGCTTTAAAATTCATAACACACTGATATGCAAGTCAAGTCCAGTGTTTGTTAGAAGCCAAACGCTTCTCAGATTGAAATCATAAAAGCAAAAGGTCTGTACTAATATCATCCAAGCCTAGAAGCAAATCGCTCCAGTGCAGAAGAAAAATTCTCCTGGAGTGAGGAAAAGAAGAAGAAAAAAAAAAACCACCACAAACCATGTATTTCCCTGGTACAGATCTATCTATCTTTCTCTCAGGCAGCTACTTGCTGCCGATTCACTGGTGAGCTTCAGCCTCACAAATACCTTCCCCAGTCTCTGCATATGCGATTAAGCCTCTATGCATAGTCAACCTCACAGCCTCTATTTCCATATTAAACGCTTATAAGAAAGAGCTGAGCTGGTACCCACCTAGAACGTAGTCGCTGCAGTCCAGCATTGCTGTGGTATCCTCTACAGGTTCAGCTAGTCCAAGGAAAGGGAGAACGGCAATTTCTATCAAATCTACACTACTGCTCTCGACCGAACAAGAAAGGGAGCGGGGAGGTGGGGGGAGAAGCACAACTTCAGTTACACCATAGCAATCTTCAACTGAACAGGGAAACTTCAGTTGCTCTGTGGAGTTTTAGTCTCTCCTACTAGCTGTGTCTGACATTGTCAAGGCGACTGAAGCGTGAAAAGTTCCCCTTTTTGTAATAAAATAGAAACAAAGATTGCAGCTGGCAGTTTCCATAATGAAGCTTAATCAGTATGCGCCTGATTAGGGCCTTATGCAAATCTCCCCTCGTTAGCACAGCAGCCAGCACTTTGAAGTCCATGAACAATTCATTTGCAGAGTACACTGAAAGCGCTCCCTGCATAATTTAAATCACGGTATAAATATTTATCAGCTCATTTGCATATTAATTGGCAGTGCATGAAGGGAAAAATTATCTCCCAAGTGCCAGCATAATAATTAGGGAACAAAATGAATTTTCTTCCAATAGCTTGGCTTCTCAGCCCTAACTCAAGCACAGTACCACAGGGGAGCAGGGAGGGGAAGAGACGGAGTTCTGTTCAAATGTCACCGAAATGACACGTACAAATTAGAAACAACTCTACAGACTTAAGCACCTTTAATCTTCTTCCTGCTGGCAACAATAACTTCAGTAATAAAGGGGATTTGGAGAAAGCTTTCTACACAATCCAAATAATCCCACGAAAACAATTAGCAAGGTAGAAGCCGAACACAAAGCTGTCAAACCGGCGACTGCACATCTGCGTGGAGTTTTCCACATCCGAACACGCACTATCACCAGAAGGTCCCGGGCAGGACAGGGAGTGCCACCCGGGCAAGTAAGCGGCACCATTCTCTTGAAAGGGCTCAAGAGCTTGCTGAGTCATTACGGGTAATCTCTTTGCCACGACCAACTTAACAGCAGTAGATATGTCAAGTATTGTGTAACATTTGACACCCACTAATCTACCCCGACTGAAATCAAAATAGATTTAGTCTTTCGCTTTCCAATGACTTCCAAGAAAAAAAACCAACACAAAAATCTATTACTAATCCCTTCCACAGGCGTACACAGCGCAGCTAAACAAAGCTTGCTGAGGAGCTATGGTTTTTGAAAGTGACACTGTACACCTGGGTTGCATCTCTGAACCACTCAATGATAACCAGTACGCACTTGCTGCCATGACCACAAAACATGCTGAAGGACTGCAGAGCTGGGAGGCAGCTTCGGTCTGTGGAGGAATCGATCTTCTTTTCCTAAAGTGGTCCACAGAACTAAGTCCACTGACCAACTACGAGGTTAGATTAAACCATTTTTAACAGTTTATTTAATACTCAAATACTAGTGTCCTAAACAGCATGAACATTTATATAAAGTTTTAAGTGTAATGTAGACATCAAACATTTAATATTCCATATTCTGATCAGAAAAAGATACTGCGATGGATACAGGTGACTGTAGGGTTGAGCCACTCACTTCCAGGTGTTACTATGAATTTATAATAGTTCGTTCTTTCTTTTTCTTTAAAAAAAGCTAGCTGTACTTCTCATTTCTGAAGTGAATTCAAGCACCGTCTCTCCAAACAAGAGGGAGTGAGAGAAAAGGGACTTCTCAATCATCCAGTACTGACTGGAATTTATTTCCACGCTTGACCTCTTCTTCTGTTCAGGTTCATATCTCTACTTAACACAAGATGTTCCCTGCTATATATTAACGTGAGTGATCTACACTTGAAAAAGATTGCAAGAAGGGAAGGTGTGCTCCCAACTGCAGGGAAACAACCGTGTGTACTGAACAGGTCTTTCTCATATTGTTTTTTCCAACTTGGTTTTCTACTCATGCACGTGTCCCACTGAGACCTCTGAGGCACATCTCCATGGTCCACAGACCTTCAGTAAACTTCCCTCTTCCATATATGCTTTTGGAGATAATCCATTTCCTTCATGGGAAGAGCCCGGACACAAATGGTCCAACAAGCCAAGCACTTCACCAAGCAAGCACCAGTTTAAGCAGTGGCTGAGGCACAAGTGGCTGAGGCACAAGTGGCTGCGCTGAGGCACAGTAAGAGGACAGCAGTGTTATCTTGGGGATCCTTTTCAAATGCGAGTCAAGTGTTGAGCTGTCAAGTGCAGGTGCAGCCCCAAAAGCGGGTGACGGCAGGAAGTGACCGTTAGAAGCAGTCACGTGTGCAGTGATGGATGACTTGCACACAACAACTAAAGGCCAGGGAAGATGTGCGTGAAGCAGCGTCAGCAAGCGTGCCGGTGGCACCACGATGCTACTCATCCTCATGGTATCACTGACAGCTAACAAGGACAAGGCAGGAGTTTTCTTCCCATTCCCAACTGCGCCAACCAATCTCCCTTACAAACACCAACCACCAACCCCCCCCCACAATGTTCCTTTGAACCGCAACCTCCACCAACTCGCTAAAACCTCATACACTGATTTTTTCAAACTAAGAATTGGCAAAAAAAAACCAAAACAAAACAAAAAACATTCTTCCAGTGACCATTTCATTCCTTAACCATTTTATTATCTTCCCTGTTATGTAAAGTCTTAATTTTTTGAAAAAAAAGCCCCCATTGTTTCATTTAGGCAACACTACTCCAACTATTTACTTCCTCCTTTTGTGGAGGAACAAGACATACCAGCGTGCTTCAAAACCAATGGCACAATATCCAGCTTAACTTTCTGTTTAGGTTTTGCCATGTCATTGGCTGTTGGTTTTTTTTCCTGAATTCTTACATTAAAAATTACTGAACACCCTGAACCAAAGTCATACCTCTGGTACTCATATTTGAGCAAAATACCACTATGGGCTTTGCACACAGACTTTCACATTTCCTCCAAAGGCACTTTTAAGATAAAAGTGGTGCACCTTGTTGATCATCAGTGCAAAAAACTTCTTCACATCCCACGCAACTACAGATATCTCAGAAAGAGTTTATCTCCTCTTAACTCTATAATTCTTACATTAATGATTTTCCCCTCATAATTCTATTCATACTTTTCCTTAAAACCAAAGGAACGAGGCCACCATCACGGAGCCATATACAACTAAGACAGATGTTCTCAGTCAAACACTTCCGAGTCTGCAGGTCAGGCTTCAGGAGACTCCTTCCACCCTACTCTGTTCGTCTCTTCACTCTTTAGGTGTCATCCATACCTTCCCATTTCAAAGGCATGCTTTTGCTTTCCATCGCTCCCACCAATGTCACTTCATTTATTCAGTTCTAATGATTGTACTTGATACTTTAATACCTTATGTTTTGGAAAGCAAACCCCATTTTCCCCTGTAGGTTATGCAACTCTTGGTTAGTCCTCCTTTTATATCTTCTCTTATCTCTCCTCCTGGTTTTTTTTTCCAGTTATTATGCCCAACCGACTGTAAACTCCACTAAGGTATTCCCCAATGTCATCTATTACACTAATAAGTGTTCTAAACAGTCAAAGTTTTTACAAAATAGGAGGAAAGGATGTTTAAACCCTTATCTTCAGATGGTCAGTTGCTCTCCCTTTTTCTTCTTCTTTTAATTTTTTTTTTAAGAATATAAATGAGGCAGAATTAAAAGGCTAAAAGGCAAAGTAACTACCAACATTATTCTATATGATGCTTTTTTGAGGAAAAGAATCTTCATTTTTATATAGATGTGTTTCCATATATTAGTAAAATGTCATTTACCGCATGCCCTTAGTGACAGCTAGGAAATTTCTGCCACTAGCCAGCTCTGTGACAGATGGGACTATGGAAACTTTGCAGGCATGCTTCCTGGTACTACATGGCCAAGTTGCCCAATAAGCCAACACCACGCTGTTTCTCTTTGGAACAGTGTACTTGGAGCGGTACACGGAAGGGAAATGTGGTATTAATTGTAACGTATCAGCCTACCGCCTTCATTAGTGCCTCAGTGCCTAGTAGATTTTACCGTGAAGAACCACTGCAGAACACTGGTCACCAAAGCTCTGAAAACAGCACGTGGCTAAGCATAACATCAACGAGCGTCGCACCACTCAGGGTAAGGCTGCTTTCTGTACACCACGCCAGCCAAGGCCACAGATACAGTCGGCCCCAAACCGACACTACAGAGAGCTACTACATTTTCACTCAAGACATTTCCAAGTCTCTATTCCACTAGCTAAATGAAATCTAATAAAACATTTATCAAATAGAACTCCAATGTGCTATTAAAAAAACAAATCACATACTTCAACAAAATAAACTTATTAAAGTTGGCACAATCCTCTTAGAGTAATTACGGACAGACAGACAGCAGTCTGCTCATAGTTAGGGCTGCAAACTAAGCTCTAATTTTAGCCACCACCTTTGACTTTGGCTAACAAAATTGATTTTATCTGAAAATTGCTAAGTTTGCTCTGAAAGCCAAAGAGCAGTTTGTCTGGAAAAGTCAAATAAAATTGGCCTGTTTTAGAATTACCGCTCATTACGCAATTGCTATGAATTGGAATTTTAGCCTACATCTAATTTTACTTCTCTCTCACCGACTCAAATCACAACTATTCCTTTCAAACTTTCCACAGCACAAAATGTTTTACAAAAATTCTTCCGTGTACCTCTTTTTGAAGAAAATTAAGTATGCAGACAGCTAGCCGCTTAAGGAATGCTAATTCACCTTATCAGTGCAGGACAGCACATACTTCTAAGCACCTGACACATTAATATGAAGGGTTTGTTTGGGGGTTTGGTTTTTTTTAAGTCTCATTTATTTTTGCTCACAGAAGGTAGCAAGTATAATGGCGTAACTTTTTTTTTTTATAGTAAGAAAACTGTGGTCATGACAAACTCGCAATACAGAACCACCACATGAAGTGGGGAAAAAAAGATGGGGAGTCACAGGGGAGGAAAGAAAATAAATACCCTTATTTAAAAATTACAGCATTAGAGCTCTCACAAGCAACCCAAGTCTTATTTGAAACTCAT